CACAGTTAAATTAGATCCTAATCATGAAATGTGTGAGGATTGATCTAATGCAATAAAACTGGGTAGTAGAAAAGGTATGATCAAAGTGTTACTTGCCTTGCTGATGATCCGCGAAACCTAACGATTCGAAGTAACAGGCGGCGCACTCCGGGTATTCTATCACAGACAAACAAACAAGCATACAATAAGTACTCATCTAATGCACAGGTAAAACTCAAATAAGAGATCTAACCAGAAGGTTCAACTTAAGAACTCCGGTTGGCAAAAAGAATCAAATCGAACGAAGCAACGAAAGACAAACGGCAAAAGAAAACAACTTCGTTCTAGTAATCTGGATCTAGGGCAAATTTTACAGTAGCAAAATCTTGTTTAAGTTGGTTAAACGGATAAAGGGTTTCGAGACGAAACTCTAGGTGCTTGAATCGCCTGATTCCGATAAACGAGCGAAAAATTAAACTAAAACGAAAATTGGATCAGGAATCGCGATCAGAAAAAACGCGGATTTAATCCGAGGAAAAGAAAAACGACGAACGCCGATTTTTTTTCGGCACGGAAAATGAGGCACGACGAACCTCGGGCGGCGGGATCGTCGTCGGCGGCGGCGGCTCCAGCGGCACGCGCGGATCGAGGCGGGGCTGATGGGCTGGGGCGGCTCGGGGCGGTGCTATTTAAAGGCTACCCCCGGGCGGTGTCCCGCTCGGGTATGGCCCGAAGTCGGTTTAGTTTTTTTATTATTCCGCTTGGAAGAAAAATAAAAAGAAATACTAAACGGACTCCAAAAATTCCGAAATAAATTTTCACGGGCTTCTAAAATCAAGCTTCACAAGGTGAATATTTATTTGGGACCTAAATGCAATTTTGAAAAACGCACTTTTTTCCTAAATTCAAATAAAACACCGAAAAACTCCGAAATAAAATCTTATTTGATTTTATTATTAAATCCTCAATATTTCTTTATTTTGGGAAAGTCATTTTATTCCCTCTCTCATATTTTTGTAATAGAAATTATTGATGATAAAATAAATAAAATCAAATGATCCTATTCTCAAAATTTGAGAAAACTCAAATATGAAAATAACGAAATCTCCAACTCTCTCCGTGGGTCATTGAGTTGCGTAGAATTTCTAGGATCAACCAAAATGCAAAATAAAATATAATATGCATGATGATCTAATGTATAACATTCCAAATTGAAAATTTGGGATGTTACAGAAAATGGGTGGTTCGCATAACCCCCTGAACTTTTTTCCGGTTCAGTTAACCCCCTAATCTATGCCAAACCGTTCAAAAATCATCTCTAGCTGGTTTTTTGAGCTCATTTGCTGACATGGACACAGTCAAGGCGGTATTTGACCAGTGGGGTGTGGGGCCCATTCGTCAATCAAATCCCCACTCTCCTCCTCGACGCCTAGAGAGCATAATCAATGCTTAGTTTATGCCGTCGGCGTTGTAGTTCTTAGCCCGCGTGGACAACACCTCCCCCTCCCCTTCAATCCATGTCCTAGAGCTTCCCCTCGCTCTGCTATACGTTCCTGCCAAATGACTTTATCCTAGTCACCCTAAATCATCAGCGACCATGTCTTCTTCCCCGCCTCCGGCATCGACTATCGCCGCCTCGATCTTTTCCTCTGGTGAGCCCCGCTTCTCCTTCTCTGCTTCCTAAGCACCGTGGTGCTCCTCTGAAGCTGACCGACCCATCAATTTGGAGTTGCGCGTCCCTGAGGAGCTCTCCCCGCATGGCCAAGCTCCAGCCCCCGCTGCTCCTATGGGTGGCACACTGCGCGAGTAGGCTACATAGATGAGGGAGGGAACGGAGAGGCTCCGGAGGAGCAGGGGCTCACCTAGGGGGTGCTGGCACAGGAAGGGGGACCAGAAGTGCTCTGCAGCGACGCCATGGACGCCGAAGGCGGCGACCGGGGCGCAGGCTTGCGGGGAAGGGTCCGCGGGCCTCACCTGGAACCTGTCCAGAAGGTGCGCGAGGTCGTCTCGCGTCAACGAAGGGGTCGTGGAGGTCGGGGGCGCGCTGGTGATGGCGGATTTTAGCGTGGTGGCTGGCGGCAGTGGCGAGGAAGACGACGATGCCAGGCTCGATTGGGGTTGGCTTGGCACAATGGATTTGGCAGAGTTGAAGAGGGTAACGAGACAGATGATCCCGACATTTTGGTGTGGCTCTATGCTTCCTCCGGCCACGTGCACGGCGATGGTGGCCGTCGACCGAAGCTCGGGCACTCTCGGGGTGGCTGCAGATGTGGGAGAGAAGGCAGAGGAGGGCCCCACTGGTCAACAACGCTTTGACCTCGTCCATGTCAGCAAAACCACCGGTGCAAACCCACCAATGACGATTTTTGAACGGTTTGGGATAAATTAGGGGGTTAAGTGAACCAAAATAAAGTTCAGGGGGTTATGTGAACCACTCATTTTCTTCAAGGGAGTAAAATGGAATTTTTGTCTTCTTTTTCAAACATAAGCAGGAATGTGTTGCTATTGTCCTTGGTCCAAAAAAGACTTAGATTTTTCTCAATTTTGGCAGAAATATTTTTGTACTGGTATTCTTGTTTTTTTATATTTGTATACAGATAGACCTAAACAAATTCGTATTACAGGTAAACAAAAAAAATGTAATTTTTCCCTAAAAATCAATTTTTTATTGGACGAAAAAAGATGTAATTAGCACAGGTGATACTAACGAAGTACTCGAAGTGGATAGTTTTTTTTTTCAGGGGAACGAAGTACTACTAGATAATTAGCATCCAGCCCAGGGTCTAATTACTGAATTAGAAAAAGCTCCCCGCACGGCCGCACCCATCCTACGAGTCACTGTGAAAATTACCAGATATCCCGATTCGTCGCCTGTCCGGCCCACCCAATTGCTTCGATTTCTCTTCCCCTCGCCTCGCCTCGCCGCAGCGGCGGCTGTACGACATTCACCGAATCCTCCCCGACGGACACGTCCCCATGCCACACCACGCTGGAGGAGTTCATCTCTCGTAGCGGGAGGAGTTGGACTGGCGCGGAGTGGAGATCCATTCGGGCTTTGGATTGATCCCTTTCGTTGGTGACGAACCCTAACTTTACTCGGTCGTTCTGAGATTTATTCCGTGATGTTTTATTTTTGATGCCTATAGCCTAATCTTGGCCGCCCTTTCTGCAATGGAGGGATACTGGGCGCTCCAACCCATCTACAGTAGTTTGCCGCGGTCTTGCCTCTGCTGCGTGGTGTGGTACTGATAGCAATTCGTTTTCCGAATTCCGGGGCTCAACTGATTCCGCACGCCCCAAATCATGCCCGCCCTTAACATGAACTGATATACTTTAGTGTTATAGCCATATACCAGATTAAGCTTGTAATTACTGTTTGTCTGTTGCATATGTCGCATGTCTTGATGTTAGTATTTGTAGAATGCCGGCTGTTTGTTTGGGTGCTTGTTTTTGCATCAACAATGTGTTGCCATGCCCAGATTAAATTATACATGCCTTCGTGCAAGCTATCTGGTGATTCGACACCGCCTTTGCAGCTACTGCTCACACTGCCATCCGCACATTTCTGGATCTGCCACTGGAGATAAATAGTATGATTTGTTTCATCTAGTTTCCAACAAATGAGAACTTCACTTAAGATGGGGGAATGCAAACTTGTAATCCAAAAGTGTCTAAGACTGTCCAGTTTGCAAGGAACAAACATTCTTGGCCTTTGAGCCACCTCAACATCTTATATGTGATTTATTTGTACCATTCCTAAACCTACCTGTGAAAGCTATTTGTATGATCATCAAACATATCAAATTGTCTGTACATGATCAGATTGCATCATCACCGAACCTACCTGTGAATGCTGCTATTTGCATGATCATCAAACATATCCAATGGTCTGTACATGATCAGATTGCATTTTCCTGGTTACAGGGAGTTCCTACCTGATATTCCCTTTGATGTTACTATAAAAAATAATTAATGAGTCAGAAAACCACAACTCTTAGTAAAAATCCCCTGCAATACACTTGTTCATTAGAAACATGTATGCAACTCCATGGAAAAGAAGGATGGCATAGGGACATTTTACCCTAATTGTCAAATAGAAACTCCATCTTTCATGTCTTGTATTGACCTGCCTAGGGCACTTGTGGTGTTGTTGCATTTTGAGATCCATGCTTGTAGTTTCTAGCAATTCAAATGAAATGTGCATAGTGTGAATAACACTGATATTAGGTTCCACGCCTCACATTTATGTATATTAAGAAGTTGTTAGCTGGCACTGGCTATTCTTGCAGAGCTTTACTAGACAATATCGAACTTGTCCTTGCTGTATGACATTGTTTGATGTGCTTTAATTATAAATAAACTGTCCTTTCATCTCTGCTTACTCTCTAGGACATGCTTTTGCTACTTTCTTTTTACTAGATATACCATGTACCGAGTTTCTGAGATTGCCTGGTTCCATATTTATTTATGTTCTCAGTTTGGATGATTAGTTCAAACTTTAGGCTTTATTGCTTTTGCCCTAATTGTTGACATCTTCTTTGTAATTTAATATTTATGCAACATTGCATATTGCAGCTGTTAGATATGTTCAAACATGTCCATGCTTCCTCACTAATAAAAGTAATGGAAATAAATAAAACATCCATGACCTAAATGCTCAAACCACTTGAAATTTGCTTTTCATTTTTTCACACTATATATCCTAAAATTAGCTTCTACGTGAGATATGGTAGTATCACTTGATTTTGAAGGTGATGAGCAATGTGAGCAGAAGGATTTAAAATAAACCCAGAAGATTGTAAAGTAGCCATCTTTCTGTATACAGTATAGCTCATGGTTTAAAAAAGTGCAAATTCATTTGTTGTTGTGAGTCGTGATTGTTATAGCAAACTAGTACTGATCAGTATTACGTAACTCGATAGAAATACATTGATAAATATAATTGTTCTTGTTATTAGTAACTGAATATATATGTACTTTTGTGCCACTATTCTAGATCCCTTTTCCTGTTTTGGGAAGCTATGGCAAGAACTCCAAGACACCGCGACTTATCAAGCCGGCGACTTAGGTCATCTCCTCTTGATGCACCTTCCCACTACCAGAAAGCAACAAGGGCAGCCAAGGAAAATAAATTGAAGTTAACCTCGGAGAAAAAGGATTGGAAACATGCCACTTGCCCAATATGCTTGGAGCGTCCACATGATGCTGTCCTCCTGCTGTGTTCTTCACATACCAAAGGTTGTCGACCATACATGTGTGGAACCAACTATCACCAGTCTAATTGTCTCGAACAGTTTAAAAATGCTTATGTGAAGGAGAAACCGGCAAATGAAGTATCAATTGCAGTGGCAGCAGCTAGCAAGAAGCCAAAGGATGTGGAGCTTGCTTGCCCTATCTGCCGTGGGGAAGTGAAAGGCTGGACAGTGGTTGAACCAGCCCGGCAATTTCTCAATCGCAAGAAGAGAACTTGCATTCATGAAGACTGCTCATTCATTGGATCATATAAGAAACTCTGCAAGCATGTGAAGGCCAGACATCCTTCATCAAAACCTCGTGAAGTTGACCCGGCACGTTTGGCTGAATGGAAGGAGCTTGAAAGTGCAAAGGAGAGGCAGGATGCAATCAGCATAGTCACAGGCTTGAATCCAGGATCCATGATTATTGGGGACTATCTTATTGACCCCAATAGTGGCAGCAGCGATTCTTTCATGGATAACTCTGATTGGAGTGATGACTCTGACTCTTACACGTTTCCTGATGGTGGTGATATTATGTTTTCTGGAGCTCCTGATATCCGATCATTACGAAGAGTGGTTCGCAGAGCTTACAGGACAAGTGGGGCAAGACCAAGGCAAAATGTCCAGCGTCGCGCTCTAACCATCTCCAGAAGCAGTGGAAGGCGTCGATGGCCGCAGGTTGGTTCTGCTCTGTCAGCTCGGATGCCGATGGGGAGACAAGCAAGATCCACGATTGACAGCTGAGAAATGGGAGCATTTCATCTGCCAGGAAGCAGACATCAGCACCTTACCATGAGAGCTGGTCTGGCGGAACCACTATTCATGAATCATTTAGCATGCTTCTTTCTGGTCTGGTCACAGAGTGTGCGGTTTAAAAGATTTTTTTTTTCTTGTTGGGCCACTTCTTTTTCTCTGATGAATGCGCTGCTAGACCTGTGAATGACGTTTCTTTTATTTCCTTTTATCAAAGTAGAATAGAAGCAGCGTATGTTAGGCAAAATATTGCTTTAGCCATTGGTGTTATTGTCCTAGAAAAGCACAACCCAACTCTTGGTCATTTCTGTTCAAAGTTAGTCAGACCATTTTGTTATATGTTTCTGAATTTCTTTTGACATATTGCTCGACTTGTATTTCGTGGTTCCCGTCTGGTGTTGTCCAATCTCAATGTGCTGAATTGTGGTTCCGTCGATCCAACTTGTTAGGAGTTGGTTGCAACTTGCAAGTAAACATGTTACAGTTTGTCATCAGGTAAGCAGATTGCAAGGAGGCAATGAACACGATTTATATCTGGAACATGAGTTTACTTAGCTATCTGCGCTCAGTTTACACCCCTGAGAGGGTGGCGATCTACATGATTCGATAGGAGCTGGATGGTTCATCATATACACACACAGTTGACAGGGATCGAGATGATCGCCCTTCTCTAAGATATACCGATGGTCTTCCCCAGCAGCCACATGACTAGCGAGAACTCGAGCATGAAGAGCGCGTGGAGCCACGTCCGGTCGACCACGAAGCCGAACACCGTGATGCCTGCGCGGTTGTTCTCCAGGTAGGTCACTGAAAACGCCATGATCAGCTACAGTGCTTTGCAATGGCGAAATCAAACCGCAAACGGCACGATGCATGCTTACCTAGCGCCTGCCTCTTCTGGTATGAAATGTGAGTGGCGTGGAAGGACGTGAACTTGGAGGAGGTGTCGAGGCTGTCCTCGCTCGGGGACATCTCGTCGTCGTCCGACTGGTCCGAGTCCGGGGATGGGGGCACCTGCTGCTGCTGCAGGCACGACCTGCTCGGCGTCCTGGGGTTCTCCTGGTCACGCTCCACGGTGTCGATGGTGGCGTCGGCGTGCCACGCCGCGGCGATGCTGGTGATGGCCTGCGTCTTGTGCGTGATCTTTGCGGCGCTGTGCAGGCAGATGAGCAGGCCTGCCACGAGGCTCAGGGAGCAGAGCTGAAGAAAATTCCAGACGCGCAAGAACAAGTCATTTACATACTGTATGTCGAATGAACGGACGATCGAGCATGCACACCAGCGCCGGCCGGGGGAACGTTACCGCGAGCTCGCCGGCTGTGGCGATGTTGACCTGCGCGTGGGGCCTCGTGGCGCCGAGGAGCGCGGTGAACTGGCTGGCCGTGACGAGCAAGAGGCAGTACATTATGAACTTGCGGTACCGGTGGCTGATCCGCCGGAGCTGGTCACGGATTCGGCGGTGCTGCCCCAGCACGGCGGCCACGTCGGCGCACTGGCCGAAGTCCCGCGCGAAGCCCGTCATGCGCAGGATCTGCAGGTAGCATATGATCCGGAACAGCACGCAGGCCATGAAGAACATGGCCGTGCGGTACATCCACGACGCCATCTCCATGGCGCACGCGGCGGCGGACCACCACGCCGGGAAGGGCCGGTGCGCGCAGTACCAGAACACCTTGTAGGCGGCGTCGGCGAGGAAGCAGGGCAGGACGAAGCAGGCGAGGAGGTGGAAGGACCCCGCGAGCTGCACGGTGTAGCCGGCGCGCACGTCCTGGGAGTCGTGGCGGAGGCGGTCCAGGTAGAGCAGCCGGCGCAGGCCGCGGCGGCGGATGAGCGAGGTGAGCGTGAGGTAGGCGAGCGCCGCGGAGAGCGTGAGGGAGAGCTGCACCTGCGTGTCGTAGGCGCGGCGCGGCATGGCGACGCGCGCGGCCACGGGGACGGCCACGGCGAGGACGAAGAAGACGAGCCACGAGGCCGCGGCGCTGGAGCCGTCCGAGTGGTCGACGCACATCCAGCGGAGGCAGAAGCGGAAGCTGCGGAGCTCGTCGCGCGCGTGCGACATGCAGCGCTGGTACGAGCCCCTCCGCCGCAGCAGCAGCGGCGCCGACGCGGGCGCGTCCCCGGCCATGCCCTGCGCCTTTCCCGGCCGCCGTGCCCCAACGTTCTCGGCCCCTTGTCTTGGCGATCGTATCCTTCGCGCGCGGCTTCCGTTTTACCGGCCGTCCTGGTGTTTAGGAGGGGTAATAATAATGCTGTATCGAGGCATTGAGCTAGCAAGAACTTTTCTTGCTCTCGGGGGAGAGATGGAAATGCTACAGAGAAACGGAGAGACATATATCCTGTAGCTAGCTGTGGCCTCTATATGTCAAACTGGGAAATGCTTGTGGGTGTGGATCTGCATTCTGTAATGAATGATACGCCTTTTGCCAAAAATAAAATAAAATCCATTTTCTTAGTTGATAAAATTCATATTCTCCTATATATAATCTCCGGCGTAATTCCTTATAAAAAGGAGGGAAAAACAAAAACAGCACATGGTAGCTAGTAGAGTAGAGTACGAGACTAGAGGTTTCACGGCCCTTATCAACTTTTTTTATGCTAGCACATCTTTTACTCATGGGATTATCATTATATGACGGTAATGTGTGATACGGAAAGCGCGGTGTATCTCGTGCGAGGCACAGAAACACTTCTTTCTTTTGCGTGGAGGTGGACAGCGAACGGTATCACAGATTCACAGCGACGACGGCGTGGAAAAGCAAAAAGAGAAGGCAAGTGCAGATTTTGTTTTGTTCTGCGAGTCAAATGAATCCCTACAGCTTAAGATCTTGACCACAGAAACCAGAAAGCCGATCGATCCATCCATCCATCCATCACTGGGCTAGCAGCTAGCACGGGCGCATGCACTGAAGGTCTGAAGCTCCTGTGCCCCGACTCCTCTTTCGGGTTGAGGTTCAGTCGCCAAAGGCTTCCGTTTGATGCATTGCTGCGAGTCACGGAGCAAAGTGTTTAGCTTGGCTGGCGGGAGTGAGAGTAACTGCACAGTGTGAATGAACGGAATTCCGTGCCTTAACCACCGACCACAAGTAGAAGTTGCCCCGTGCCGGTGCCTTGGTTTTCTTTCTGAATTGCTATCGCACGCCGATGCCGTCTTCGCCACCGGAGACGGAGAGGGAGACTAGTGCTCATTCCCGCCAGCCAAGCTGTTTCCGCCAATGTGCTGCCGGATGGCAGAGAGAAATGGAAGTTCTTTTTTTGGGGGGGAGAAGAAGATAGGAAAGCTTTTAGGCAGCTACGCTGGTTCAGGCCCAGACCCACCGTAAGGAAGTCGGGCCTCATTTCCTTTCCGAACGCGGGCTGTGTGCAAACGCAGCGGTTGGGGCCCTAGCAAGCCCAGAGCTCAGACATGTCATGGGTCATGGCCACCACCCGCCCAAGTCCTATTTGGCGCTTAAGCCCGAAAACACTAATTAAGAAGTACTCGTTGCAAAGGACGCTTCACTTTCCCAGGTCGCGACAAATGGCGTACATGCAGCGCGCCACTTGTCGCAACCTGAGAGTTTTCTTTTTTTTTCGTAGATCCATTTATTCAAAACGTTTCATCTCTTAAACCGTGCGTCCAAATCTCGAACTGTTTTCACCATTAGATTCCTCGCTTCGAGATCTTCAAAACTAGATCCCATGTTGATAGTTTTTGACAAACTTTTTTTTCACAAAAAAAATCGGGCAAAAAAACCGAACCGGGAGAACGGTTTTTCCCTTTCCGAAAGAGGCACGCCCGTGCCTCTCGCAAAATCACAATCGTGCCTCTCGTGGAAGCAAAACCGTGACTCTCGTGTAAGGAAAAAAAATAGAAAACGCGTTTTTTTTTCGTTTCCGAGAGGTACGGTCGTGACTGTCGCGAAAGCACAACCGTGCCTCTCGCGAAAGCAAAACCGTGACTCTCGCGAAAGAAAAAATAAACAGAAAACGCGTATTTTTTCCCTTTCCGAGAGGCACGACCGTGACTTTCGCGTAAGCACAACCGTGCTTCTCGCGAAAGCAAAACCGTGACTCTCACGAACGAAAAAAAACAGAAAACACATTTTGTTTTTCCCTTTCCGAGAGGCACGACCGTGACTCTTGCGAAAGCACAACCGTGCCTTTCGCGAAAGAAAAACAGTGACTCTCGCGAAAGAAAAAATAAACAAAAAACGCGTATTTTTTCCCTTTCCGAGAGGCACGGCTGTGACTTTCGCGTAAGCACAACCGTGCCTCTCGCGAAAGCAAAACCGTGACTCTCACGAACGAAAAAAAACAGAAAACGCATTTTGTTTTTCCCTTTCCGAGAGGCACGACCGTGACTCTCCCGAAAGCACAACCGTGCCTCTCGCGAAAGAAAAACCGTGACTCTCGCGAAAAAAAAACAGAAAACGCGTTTTTTTTGTTTCCGAGAGGCACGGCCGTGACTCTCGCTAAAGCACAACCGTGCCTCTCGCGGAAGAAAAACCGTGACTTTCACGGAAAAAAAACACGTTTTTTCGTGAATTTTTTTTCTTGATTTCTTTTTTATCGAAAAGCTAAGAAAGACCTGGGGAAAACCAAAACGTCGAAAAAACCCGAAAAAAGCTGAAAACGCGCCAAATGACGCTGATCGTTGCGAGGCTCCCGAAGGAGCGCTCGTTAACTACTTGCTCCCGCTTAAGCCGCCACTTATAGGCTTATTTACTAACTGGCGCATACCCGGAGCGTTTCAGAGAGAACCGGGTAAAACCAGAGAGGTGCAAAACCGGTTTCGGTAAAAAATATATTCAAATTCACGAATCTCAATTTTTTTTCAATTTATATGAACTTTTCTCGTATTCCCGAACCTTCCAGTTTTTGTACTTTTTCCAAATTCACGAACTTCTCAATTTTTGTGAACTTCCTCTCGAGTTCATGAACTTTTTCAAATTTATGAGTATTTTTAAATGTTGAATATTTTCCACAATTCGATATTTTCTATTTTTGTGATTTTTTTTCAAATTTATGTATCCTTTTCAAATTCATGAACTTTTTTAAAACCTACGATCATTTAATAAATCCATGAGCTTTTTTAAAATTTCAACACACCCCTCGGTACACTTTGGGCTGACCCAGTGTGGGGGCGGGGCGCCCTTTTTTTTCATTTTTCTGTCGTTTCTTTTTTCTATTTTTGTTTTGCACAGCGTTTTCGTTTGGCCACGCCAGGGCCATGGTGGAAACGTCATGATCCAAGTATTTGCTTGTGGAACGCAAACGCCTAGGTGGGCGGCGTTGCTGAAAAGGGTCAATATCGTGAAAGAAGTTTGAAATGTGATCATTTCATGCTAAACCTTCTAAAAGTGTTCAAACTTGTCATTTTAGCCTGAATGCAGCGGTTGGACCCTAGCAAGCCCAGACTCTGGAGATGACATGGGTCATGGCCATCCTCCCATCGCGACGCAATTGCGGCATTGAGCAACACGGCGAAGAAGACCGGTAGCGACTAGCGACCAGCGGCGTGCCATACGCAAATCGTGGAAAATTCTCATGCAATTTGCGCGGGCACGTTCAATGCAACGGTGAAAGAAGCACGCCTTTACGAGGAGTAAGCATTACACATGCACAAATGGAGCACCGAGATTGAACGTCCCGCTACTTGTAACAGCACGTTACTTACTACTGGACAAAAATGAAAGTAGAAATCTGTTGTCTGGACGAAGGAGTGACAGTGAGACGATGCTGCCACTTAATTCCTTTGTGGTGACTAACAATGATGAATCGACGGACATGAAGCTCCATCCAGTGATCTCTCCATAGACACCAAGCAACCAAGCTGGCTGCCCACTCCATCGGTGGTTGGCGAGGCGACAGAGCACCACACGCCAACACTCTACCAGCTTGCTCCTCTAGCCGCTTGCCGAAAAAGGAAACAGGAAAAGAGAATGGCAAGAAACCGACGGAAAAGCAGACGGGGGAGCTTGCTAAAGCTGTTGACCGCTGCTTGATTGAATGATTGGCCGGCCACATGACGGCCACTACACCAGCCCGTTCTAGCTTTGCTAGCTTCTTTAGCTTCCTCTGTCTCCCCATCTTTAACTAATCTGGACTCGGATTAGGCTAGGGGGTGCTAATCTAGATTTTGGGGATTTCAAACACGTGTCACTATATATATATGCTCCCAAGCTCAACCTCTTAGCAGAGGCAAACAATGCTCTCGAAACAGGCTTTCACCCCGTTTTATACATGAGGCAGGCAGTGCTCTGGAAGTTGGAAGTGAAAGATCAACACATTCCCAAGGGAGGTGATGAATATGATCTAGACTTCTAGATTCATCCGAGGACGGCGTGTGCTGGCTGCTGTAATTATGGCATAAGTAGGTTTCACGTAATGGCGACCAGGGACGATCATTGACGCTTACAATTTTATAAGCGGCTAATCACGTTTACGATTTGACAAGTGAGCTGATCCTGATTAAGAATGCCGTGGCTAAAGAGAAAGCGGTGTGTTGGAGATGCCAAGTTGCTGCTGGTTAGGGGACAGCATGATCCTGCTACATCCTAAAGCTTAAGCTATGGAGCTTAATCAGCTGCTCTACTTACCCTCCTCCTTTTCCGAGGCTTAAAAATGGCTTAATCACGACACCAAAAGGCGGCGCCTTTGATCGCTTTACAACCGCGCACGGTCCTCTTGTAGTTGCAGTGCCCATGCATCTTACTACTACTACTACTACCCTTGCCCGTTGGCTCAATTGCGCATTGTCTGTCCTCTTGCGGTTGCACGACAGGACAACGTAGCAGAGCAGAGCGCGGCGGGAACGGAGGAAGGGCGGGGAGCGGCGATGCACTTCTTCTCGGGCCGGAGCAAGCCGCGGCAGAAGAACGCCGGCGGCAAGAACCAGGCCGATGCCTCCACGGCGGCGAAGGCCAAGCACAAGGACGGCAGGTGCCGCGCGCTGTGCTGCGGCGCGTCGCGGCTCAGCGTGTCCTCCTCGGCGTCCTGCTCGTCCCTGGACGCGCCGGACACGACGCGCGGCCGCATGTCGGATATCGCCCACGGCATGGTCCAGGCGAGGCTGCACTCCATGGCCGACGCCGCCTCCGCCGACGGCCGGTCGTCGGCGACGACGCGCCGCGGGACGGAGCCCGCCGACCAGCACCGTCGCTGGCCGTGCGTCTGCTCCTGCGCCAGCGGCGGCGGCGGCTGCCACGAGAGGAGCGCGCCCAGGCCCCGCGAGAGGAAGCCGTGCGTCGTGCTGGTGGCCGTGGACAGGAGGACGTACGAGCCCCGGGAGGAGTTCCGCCGGTCCATCGCGGAGGTGATCGCGGCGAAGCGGATGGCCGAGCCGGCGGAGCTGCGGGCGCTGCTCAACTGCTACGTGTCCGTGAACGCGCGCGAGCACCGCGCCGCCATCCTCGACGCCTTCCACGAGGTGTGCACCGGCCTGTTCGCTTGCAAGGGTTGAAGAGGCGTACTGTCGTCCATGTCCGCGTGTGCATCTCTCGTACTCTCGCAGCCTCGCAACGGGGAAGTGTGATGGTTAATTTTGTTTCAAACAGTGTTGCTCAGCACTGCTGTAATAATGTGCTCAAGCCTCAGGCATAGTGCGCCTATCTTGGGCAAGTTACGTCTTGTATATATTTCGCTGCTTGTTATGTTGATATCCGAACCTATCCTCAGTTCAGATGTGGATTTCAGAATAAGTTAGTGCAAGGTCAACATTGAGTTTGTTTGTCTGATTGAACCTTTTAGTTACGCCGGCATACACATCCATGAATACTAGTATTACAGAGCCAATAGTGTGTTGTTACTCCCTCTGTTCGAAAATAACTGACATGATTTTAGTTTGAAACCATCAATTAATAATACTTTTTGAGCAAAACCATCACTTAATTGATGCGTGAAAACCTACTATTCATAAGCTGGTTTTGTACTCTTGAATTCTGAATGCCAACCTTACAAGAGTTGTTTTCACTTGTTTTTTCTAGAGAATTGTACAACAATGTTTGTTTGGTGCAATGCTATTACATGTGTATGCTTGTGTTCTTGCATTGTGGATCAACAACTGGTTACCTTTTTGAATAAAAAACAAACCCAACAATCATCAAGATTCATGTAACAAAAAACAATCAATTAAATCCTACAATCCAAACAAAATCTATTACTAATCATATAAACAGGAAAGAAACTTGATGAGAGTTTGACACGTATCACTTCCATGATATATTCGTGTTAAGACGCACATTTTGAACAGGAAAGGGGGGAATAATTAAGATAAGGAGGAGGATTGCTAAAAAGCCTTGATCATCAGGACACGACATGATTTATTCCTTGCTTTTGTACTACTAGTTCCTGTTGCTAAGTGCTTAAAGGTGTCGGCCTCGTGAAGTTAATCTACTCTGCGGCCTTAAACACTAGTAGTTAAACGCAAGTTGCTGCAGTAACCCCCACTTGTGGGATCAAGCTATCTCTCACTTGGATTTTATGTCTTTGAAATATAGAGACAAAAGAGTCACTCATTCATTAACTAAGGAGAACGAACCTCCCTTTTCGAAAAAATTAACTAAGGAGAAGAAAACAAAGGTTCACAACAAAATTACACCAGGACTACTCTCCCGACATAAGAGCATCTCCAACGCTGATCCGCAAATATCTTCGATATATGTCCGGAGGAGAAAATATCCTGTTGGGAGGAGAAAAAGTAGGTGGGGATCATGCAAATGGTGGACTATTTGTGTTGGTTGGGAGGAGAGAGAGGAGAGGGGGACCATGCATGTGCGGTTGGGAGGAGAGAGAGAAAAGAGGGACCATGCATGTGACTGGTCAAGTGCATGTCTGGACTCACTCCGGCAAAACTCCCCCACGTTTGTCTCTTGGATAGCGGAATCCGTACATCTGGACATATATAGGTCCCGGTTGAATGGCAAAAGTGGTCCGAACACTGCGCTCCAAACGTATAGGGGAGGTTTGCGGCTCCGTCTTGAAGATGCCCTAATGCTATGTAACACCCTCGATGCGGCTATATCTCCCACGTGCCGAAGCACGTCTTAGAGGCATAACCGCATTGAAAACAATGTCGCAAGTGAGGTAATCTTCACACAACCCAAGTAATACATAGGGGAAAGAGATACATAGTTGGCTTACAATCGCCACTTCACACAATTACATGAATAAAGCATTACAACAACCAAATACAATCAAGGTCCGACTACGGAACCAAAATAAAAGAAGACTACCCCAAATGCTATGCAGATCCCCGATCGTCCCGACTGGGCTCCACTACTGATCAACTGGAAACAGAACAACACAAAGGACAAGATCTTCAACGAGCTCCTCCTTGAGCTCGGTTGCGTCATCTGCATGGTATCCTCGGCACCTGCAAACTGGTTTTGGAAGTATCTGTGAGTCACGGGGACTCAGCAATCTCACACCCTCGCGATCAAGACTATTTAAGCTTATGGGTAAGGTAAAGGTATGAGGTGGAGCTGCAGCAAGCGACTAGCATATATGGTGGCTAAACATACGCAAATGAGAGCGAGAAGAGAAGGCAAAGCACGATCGAGAAACTATGATCAAGAAGTGATCCTAGAACAACCTACGTCAAACATAACTCCAACACCGTGTTCACTTCCCGGACTCCGCCGGAAAGAGACCATCACGGTTACACACGCGGTTGATGTATTTTAATTTAAGGTCAACTTCAGGTTTTCTATAACCGGATATTAACAAATTCCCATCTGCCCATAACCGCGGCACGACTTTCGAAAGTTCAAATCCCTGCAGGGGTGTCCCAACTTAGCCCATCACAAGCTCTCATGGTCAACGAAGGATATTCCTTCTAGCGGGAAGACCCGATCAGGCTCGGAATCCCGGTTACAAGACATTTCGACAATGGTAAAACAAGTCCAGCAACACCGCCCGAATGTGCCGACAAATCCCGATAGGAGCTGCACATATCTCGTTCTCAGAGCACACCGGATTGTCCAAGGTACTGGTAGGCCAGCCCAGAGTTGCCCCTGGTGGCCACCGGCAGCTGAC